AAGAAAGATAGTAAAAGTCGATCTCATCTTCCATTCCGCAACATAAACATGAAGTACGCCACAACACCCAAGATCCACCGTTCCTTCCGTCAAACGCTGCGGTCTTCCCAGGCGGAAAGTCCGCGGACCGAAAGAGGACAATCATAGCTTCAATCATGCCTAATATACCCTAAGGTTCTATGTCCCACACCGATTGTCAGCAGGTTGCGCTGCAGAAGCCCGTGGAGGTCCACAGTCACGTGATGGAGAGGTGGCCGTCTGACGGTTGATTCGGGAGGACAAACAAAACCATCGACCTCCATTTGACGACGAGCAACTGGGTCCGTCCAGTACCGCCAACAATCCGTGCGGTAATGACCCGTGACGCGGCACCCAAAGCAAACTGGTGGTCCGCGCCTAGGTGGATCATCCCTCCTATCCTCCCGACTACAGCTGCGGGAACCCGCATAACGTTCCCTAGAAGATTTACGGTTGTCCCGCCGCCAACGTTCCGGAGAGTGCCCTCCTCTCCGAGCGCTACCTCTGCGATAGTGGTCAACATTATGCCAGTAACTCCGCACCTGGTTGCACGCAACGTTAACGGGTCAGATTCAACAAGCACAATAACCAACAACAACTTACGGTTGGGAACTGGTACAGGGATATCACAAATTGGGACTTCATGTTTAAACCATAAATCTACTACATCTAAGGACGACAAGACAACAGGACATTGCAACTTTCTAAATCAACGGCGAACAAATTCAGTTCTACATCTACGGTCCCATCGGAGGTTTGACGTGACACTCACCCTGGCTGGAGTACGGCCTCACTGGCCTGTCCGCTCCCACTGCTTTGACCTGTGACTGTATAAGTCACAGGCGTCTGCCCAGCCACGATAGCTTGCGTGCTTTCTCGAGCTGTGCCTTCAAGGCCCCGACCGCCCGCAACATTCATCGCAAACGCGAACGTGCGTGCACGCCACACAAGGGTCAGGTCTTTTAGAGGTCCAGTCCTTTTTTCCTCGCCTTGATTTGGTGAAGTGGTTCCGCCCGCCCCTTCAATTTTCTGCGGTGTGTGCGGGCCTGGGGCCCACTTCTACGACTCACTTCTGCCGGATCTGGCATCATCTACTGACTTTCATTTTCCTATTTTATCTGGAAGAGACCTACTCACCACTGGTCAATGGAAGCAAGCGAGGAGGAAAGCAATAGGCACAAAAAAGAAAAAAGAAAAGAAAAGAAAAGAAAGCAATTGGCATGGCCAATTCTGGCTCTGGGCCTAGCGTCATCCCCCAAACATAACGCACCCCCACCTTGACCGGAAATCTAGCTTGTATACATTCCTAATGAGGGTGCGTTATGCATGGGGGAAGACGGTAGTTGCAGCTCTCGCGGTCTGCCATCATTTTGAATGAATCTGAACTCGCAATCCGGCAACCTTCTGAGTGCACGAGGTCAAATTCAATGCTCATGTTCATTCAGCAATTTGAATGCACCAGGACGAATTCCATGTTGGCGGATGGCGACTACCAAGTGCAACTACGCAGGCCCTCTCTGGCGTTGGGAGAGAGGGTGGAGCGACCTGCAGGGCGTAGTTAGGATGGGTGACCTCCAGGAGGGAAGTTCCAGTGCTTGGCCATCAGGCAAGCAGCAGCGGCAGCAGGAGGAGGAGAGGAGGGGGAGGGTGGGGGTTGCGTTGCCCGAGGAGGTGAGTGCAGGCGCGAGCCCACCACTCGTGCTATGTTTGTGCTGAGAAAGCACGAACGGGACCATGAAGATGGCCAGGCTCATGCGGAGAAAACACAAATGGGACCATGAAGATGGCCAGTTTCATGCGGAGAAAGCACGAACGGGACCATGAAGATGGCCAGGTTCATGCGTGCCAAGCGTGAAGCATGAGCCTAACGCCAGTGGAGCCGACGTCTGGTCAACCAAAATGAGAAAGAAGAATAGGACCGGCATTTTGACCGCATGCAGGACGGCTGAAGGAACTAGAGAAGGCAGAAGAAGAAGGAGGCGTGTGGGAGGGAAGGGAGACGGAAGAGAGAACAGGAGGAGGAGGTTGGAGGAGAATCTGTCTGCTCAGCGAGCTTTGCGTAGGAACGGTGGGATCGGCATTAGCGAAGGACTGGGTTGTGGAGTGCAGAAATTACTGAACCCCTCGGTTATCGAATGGAAGAAAGGAAAGGAAGGAGAAAGGATGAAGAAAGAAGAGGAGGTGCTAGCAGGGAAGGCGCAGCGAGAGGAGAAGGGAGAAGTAGTGGAGGGATAGGAAGAAGCACCATGCGGAGAGGCAGGGAGCTAGTCGGACGGAAGAAGTCAATCAAGGGGTAAGAAGAGAGAAGAGTGGGCGTTGAGGAGGAGGAAGAGAAGGACGGTTGGAGTCGCAATAGCAGTAGAACTATTGGGCAGCCGTACTACACGGTAGTACGGGGAGAAGGGGAAGAAGACGAGGAAGAGGGTGAAGACGGAGACAGGAAACGAGGGGGGAGGACGAAGACGGGAAAGGGAGGAGAGGGGAAGACGAGGGTGAATAGTAGTGGGAGCAGCAGGAGGAGGAGGAGGAGGAGCCGGGAGGGGTAGAAGGGGAAAGAGCCGCGTGGGGAAAGGAAAGGGAGTGGGAGGGAAGAGGAAGAGCCAAGGGGGGAGTGGGGGGAAGGAGGAGGAGGAGGAGGAAGAGCGGCGGGGCGACGGAGGGAGGTGGGAGGAGGAGGAGGAAGACGGCGGAGCTGGCGGGGGAGGAGGGACAAGCAAGCGAGGACGTAGTAGAGCATTAGCGGTACTACCGGTAGGGTAATTTACGGAGCAGCCAGGCCTTGATTGAGAGGAGGGAGGCGTGTCCGCCGCTCGCAATGGGCGGCGAGGAGTGGAAACGTTGTTGGCGGGAAGGAATGTTCTACTCCTCGATGAAATGCAATGGAGGGTACTATGAGGTGCACAGGGTCCGTGTGGCATCGGGATCGGGATCGGCATCGGGATCGGAGTATGACGTGGACTCGCCAACTGCTCATCGTGCCCTCCTCCGTTGCCACAATGCAGATCGCGATACCAATCCCGATGCTGGCCAGGCAAGCGGCAATGCATCCCGCCACGACCGTGCGCTCTACGATGACGATCGGTGCGGGGGGGGGGCGGGGAGGGTTAATTGCAGCGACGCGAGCGGCGGCCACGTCAGCGGCGGCGGCCGCGACATCATTGCCAGCGCATCGTCGTCGTGGCCATCATCATCGTCTGGCGGGAAAGGGATGATGGAGAGCTCCTTCTTCGTCGGCGATGGCGAGAGGGGCGGGTCTCATGCCATCGCCGACGTGGCATCGTCGTCCACGTGGAATGCGGCGGCGTCGGAGGGGTCGTCAGTTGGGATCTCCGGCCCCAGGTCAGGTCTGGATCAACGAGGAAGAAGACAAAGAAGGCGATCGGGGTCCCCATGTGTGCACCACGATGAGAAGAGGGGCGGGGAGGAGGAAGGGGATGGTGCTGCTGCGAAGGAGGAGGGACGTGCTTCTGAGGAGGAGGAGGAGGAGGAGGAGGAGGAGGAGGAGGGACCTCCTGCTGCTGCTGCTGCTGGGGTATCCCCCATAGAATCCCCCAGTCGAATGCGTGGCACGTGTTGGAATGAGAGGGATCGAAGTTCAAGTAGCAGCGGCTTGTCGATCTTCAGCTGGATTTGGCCGAACAGATTGGATTTTACAGTCGGTTTCTTCTGGTCGCCGACATTCGTCATACTCCTGATTGCTTTGGTGAGTTGTTGGTATAACCATCGACTTCCTGCCTGCGTGATGACGATGATGATGATGATGATGATGACGATGATGATGAAGAAGAAGAAGAAGATGAAGATGATGATGATGATGATGATGATGATGATGATGATGATCGAGAGGACGAACAAGAGAAGATGAAAAGGAGGGAGAGGAAGATGAAAAGGAGGGAGAGGAAGATGAAAAGGAGGGAGAGGAAGATGAGGAAGAGGAAGGAGGGAGAGGAAGAGGAAGAGGAGGAGGGAGAGTAAAAGAGGAAGATGAGGAGGAGGAAGAGGAAGGAGGGAGGACGAGGAAGAGGAGGAGGGAGAGTAAAAGAGGAGGAGGAGGAAGAGGAAGATGAAAAGGACGGAGAGGAAGAGGAAGAGGAGGAGGAGGAGGAAGAGGAAGAGGAAGATGAAAAAGAGGAAGATGAAAAAGAGGAAGAGGGAGAGGAGGAAGAGTAAAAGAAAGGGAGGAGGAGGAAAAGGAAGATGAAAAGGAGGGAGAGGAAGAGGAAGAGGAAGACGAGGAGGAGGAAGAGGAAGATGAAAAGGAGAGAGAGGAGAGAGGAAGAGGAGGAAGAGTAACAGGAGGGAGAGTAAAAGAGGAGGAGGAAGAGGAAGATGGAAAGGAGAGAGAGGAAGAGGAGGAGGAGGAGGAGGAAGAGGAAGATGAAAAGGAGGAAGAGGAAGAAGAGTAACAGGAGGAGGGAGAGTAAAAGAGGAGGAGGAGGAAGAGGAAGATGGAAAGGAGGGAGAGGAAGTGGAGGAGGAGGAGGAGGAGGAGGAGGAGGAGAAGGAAGAGGGAGATGTAAAGGAGGAAGAGGAAGAGGAGGAGGAAGAGGAAGATGAAAAGGAGGAAGAGGAAGAGGAGGAAGAGTAAAAGAAGGGGAGGACGAGGAAGAGGAAGATGAAAAGGAGGGAGAGGGAGAAAGAAGAAGAGTAAAAGAGCAGAGGAGGAGGAAGAGGAAGAATGGATGAAGAACAGGAGGAAGATAAGGAAGAAGAGAGGAAGAAATGGAAGAAGTGGAAGAGGAAGAGGAGGTAGAGTAAAAGAGGAGGAGGAAGAGGAAGATGAAAAGTAGAGAGAGGAAGAGGAAGAGGAAGAGGAAGAGGAAGAAGAGTAAAAGAGGAGGAAGAGGAAGATGAAAAGGAGGGAGAGGGAGGAAGAAGAGTAAAAGAGCAGAGGATTAATAGGAAGAATGGATGAAGAATAGGAGGAAGAGAAGGAAGAAGAGATGAAGAGATTGAAGAAGTGGAAGGAGAAGAGCGGGAGAAAGGGAGGATGATAAGGGGAAGAGAAGAAGAAGAGGAGAAAGGGGCCATAGACAGCGGAGAGATCGGGAAAGAAGGAGGAAGTGTAACGGATCAGGAGGAGGGGATGGAGAGAGTAAAGAAGAGAATGTCAAGAGGATGTTGAGGCAATAGGAAAGAAAGAAGGGAAGGGGAGGAGCAACGGGAAGGAAGGGAGTTGTTGGGAGAAGAAGTGAGGATGAGTCGCCGAAGAGGCGGAGGCAGGAGATAACGGGATGTAGGAGCTTCAGTGGATGACGAGGAGGAGGAGGAGGAAGAGGAGGAGGAGGAGGAAGAGGAGGGGGAGTTGTTGGGAGAAGAAGTAAGGATGAGACGCCGAAGAGGTGGAGGCAGGAGATAATGGGATGTAGTAGCTTCAGTGGATGAGGAGGAGGAGGAGGAGGACGAAGAGGAGGAGGAAGAGGAGGAGGAGGAGGAAGAGGAGCAGGAAGAGGAGAACAACGACGTGAAAGAGATAAGGGTGTGCTGGAGGTGGGGAGGGAATGACGGGTGGAGAGGTGAGGAGGTGAGGAGAAGGAGAGGAGGAGAGGAGGAGAGGAGGAGAGTTGGGGGAAATGAGAGGTAGAGAAGAAGATGTGAGAAAAGGAGGACAGTACCTATATTCTGTTGTATGCCGCCATTGTAAGGGCAATCTCACACTAGGATTCTTTTCAACTGAATCTGGCCTTGATTGCATTCAGATGCATACAGAAAAGTCCTAGTCTACTGTGTATAATGCTCTAAGACTACTACAAGTGTTCTAGGGTCTCGCTCCACTATACGGCGTAATCAATGAATATGGACCGTTTAGAGGTCCGATACATTCAAAATGTTCGATCTGCCAGAATGTATCTGGTGTAGGTGGTATTCTAGATAGTTGAGTAGTGGAGCGAGGCCCCTAGTTCCGCCCTGTCGACTCCCTCCCCTCCCATCATCACCTCCTTTCTCTCCCCTCCTATCGTTTGCGTAATACTGGTTCCTATTACGCGTCTATGCGCGGACGGTGTGAGTTATCAGTGATTTCATCTTCCATATGTGTGTGTGTGTGTGTGTGTGTGTGTGTGTGTGTGTGTGTGTGAGAGAGAGAGAGAGAGAGAGAGAGAGAG